GCCAAAATATTCTACTTTCTTCATTCCTTTCCCTGGGAAAATCCTTTGATGTTTGGGCTATCATTAAAGGGAAGGAAAACACATATGGTGTGTGTGTATGTGTGTGGGGACAAACAGGAAACCTAAGCTAGCTCCCTGAAGACCCCATCCAGAGGCTTGCCCGTGAAAGGAAAGTGCTCTACCACTGAGCTGTGTCCTCAGTCCCAGGTTGGCATTTGATTCTGGTTCCTCATCTTGGATGCTGAGAAGTGACAAACTTGAACCTATAGGTGGGAAATCTGCAAAGCATTTTTTTTCTTTTTAGTGCTAGGATTGGAATCCAGGGCCCTCACACATCTTAAGCAAATTCACTACCATGGAGCCCCAGCTCAGTGGGGATTTAGATAGACCATACAAGAATGGGTCCCTCTGTGACTTGCTGGCATCTGGCATGAAGCACAGACTTGGTGGGAAGGGAGGGAGGGAGAAAGGAAGGAATGTGTTCTCCTTCTGCTTTCAGGGGCTCCCAGGGCTTTGACCTAAACAAACACAAAAGGTTGAGGATGACAGTCTGGCCTCAAGGCTACTGTTTATCCAGAGCTTTTCAAACCCATCTGCCCGAGAGCATAGAGACACCCCCAATCCGCCGCCCTAAGAACTGGCTTTGGTAGGAAGGTCCTGGGCAAAGGAGTGAATTGATGTCTCCTGGGGCTGGGGAGCCAAGCCTGGGGCCCTAGTCTGCCCTCAGGAACAGCTCTTGCTATTATTAGTTGTAGAACTATGAATGGATCAGAATGAAGTACAAAGATGCCTCAGAAGAACCCTAGAAAGTGGGGTGTCATCAGCCTCATTTTTATAGATGAAAGATAAACAAAATGAAAGTCAGAAAACCAAACAAATGAGGCTCAGAAAGCAATCTCCCCTTTTTTTGGAAAGTGACTTTTCTCAGGGTCCCAGAATAGAGCACGTGCAAATTTTAAGGGAATACCAAAATAACTCTGCAACCAAGACAATATTTAAAGTGCAATAACTTAAAATAAAATTTAAAACTCAGGATGGATAAAATAAACATTTTTAAATGAGGATTTGTCTGGGTCACTAGGTCCCAGTTTGAGATTTGGAGCTAGGATTCCAATCCCTCTGGCCTATTCTTGAGTCAGTATTCAAAATCATCTGGCCCCTTTCTTCAGCAACTCCAAAGCTTGAATGATGGCTGTTTATATATTTTAGCACAGACCTCAGGGGCATTCGGAAGACACATGGAACATCTCTGTATAGCTCAGCCTGCAGAGCCAGGTAAGCAAAAAGAGCAGAAACAATCCTGTGTCCAATCCCAGGGATGAATGGTGCTGGGGAAAGACAGAGGGAGAAGAGAGAGGGAGGGGTGGAGGTGGAAATAGGCAAGGGAAGCATCCAGGTCTTGTCCTGACCCAAAGCCAAGCCTAGGTCTGAGGCCCTTGATAGAGAAGGCCATGGAATCTATAGTCAGGCAGCCACATAACACCACAGGCTTCTCCCATCCTCGAGTCTTGGAAGACTCTGTGTGTGCCTTTGTATAAAGGGAAACAGAGCCCCTAGCAGGAGAGACAAGTTCAGAGGCAGGCAGAGGACCTAACCTCTCAAACTCTGTCCTTACACCTGCCTGTCCTGGCCCCACCTCTCTGGTGAGGTGGTCTTGGGTTTTGAGGGGCTCAGGATTTATGAGAGGCAATCTCACACACCGGGGTGGGGGGAGCGGAGCACATGAGGACAGGACTTTGAAATAAGGAAGTGAAGGAAGTGCTAGAGGAATGAGGGGCTGGGAGAAAAGATCTGGGATCCAGAGTGGGCAGCCTGAAAGAAGAGATTTAGAGGCTGGGGTGACAGCTCTGGGTCCTGCGGTAACAGTGACTGCTCCCATAAAAATGTTCATCAGATCACTCCATTTCCTGAGTCTTAGGGAAGGGGCCAAGTACTGTTGGAGGATAGGTGTCTGGAGGCAGGCCAACCTCCTACTGTGTACTGGGGACTCAGAGAGACTGGGAAACTTACAGAGGCTTACACCAACCACCTTAGGACTCCAAGTCCTGAAGCCCATCCCTGCCAAGCAGGCTTCCTTGTTTGAGAGTGCATTGGATCCAGGTTCTCTGGACAGACCTCTTGGTAAAAATTTTCCCTATCTCCTTCAGGCTGCTTCAGGCAGGCTGAGATCAAGAGCCTCCCAGATAGATGACAGAGGCTAGAGGAGGAGTACCTCTGGTCAACACCCTAAGTTGGAAAGAAGCAGGCATGTGAAAGAGGGCTAGACCCTAAATTCCAAATGAAGCACCCCTCACAGCATTTTTATGTTGCTATAGATTATAATAATTCAATACTAATGATGTTATGCTAACTGGCTGTTAAATGTTCTTGGGCCTCCGAGAAGCATAGAGAAGCTGGCTAGGGCTGCAAGAGCAGTCTTGGCCTGGTTTATTTTTCCCCTTTCCCTAAGAAGATCTGATTTTCCTCTCTGCTTGTTTGGGCTCTGATCTGTGAGCTCTAGCTTTCACTTTTGCTGGGTCTGAGATCTCTGCCCAAGTCTAGGATTTAGAAAGCTGGCCAGGGCAGGAGCTGCTAGGAGCCCTTGAGGCAGAGGAGTCTGGCGACCTAATGTCTGAGAAACCGCGACTCTTCGCTGGCCGCGTCAGCAATGTTTACAGACTCCGAAAGACAGGGATGTCTGCAATTCTTGTGGACTTAGGATGCTACGAAAGATGAGGGTCTCCTGAGGGGAGAAGCAGCGGAGGTGGTGTAGGCGACCGGCG